GGGCTCAGAGTGGGAGGGAGAGCCCTTAGAGCTGAGTTTAGCCCTGAATGGGAGCTGCAGTGTGGGCACGTCCCTGGGGCTGTGAGTGTGGGGTGACCCCAGTGCTGGAGTGGGGTGAGGATTCCAGGTGAGGATTCCAGGTGAGGATTCCAGGTGAGGATTTCAGTCCTTGCTGAGCTCTCGGGGTCAGTGCTGAGCTGATGGAGGCTGGAAAGGAGCAGTGCTTTTGTGGGAAGGGAGGAATGTGAGCTCCCATTTATCTGAGGGAATAGGACCCCACAGTAAATCCCTAATTTGGTGTATTTAGTGTTCCAGGATCCTCCTTTTGTGGAGCCAGAGCAGTGGGAGCACTCACATTCCCGTTCCAGGTGTGTCACCTTTGGAATTTGGGCAGCCACAGTCCCAATTCCCAATAATTCACTTTATTTCCTTTATTTCCTGCCCAGGTACAGCCTCCTGCCTTAAGCTCAGCCTGAGCCCAGCAGGACACAGCCTCCCTGCCTATTAAACCACAGCTTAATTTGAGCTCATTTCTTTTGTTGAGATGCAAAACTAATTATATTGAACTACAGATGAACAGGAAGTTGCATTAGCAAATTTGTTGTCTTTTCTTTTTTTTTTTTTTTTAATCAATGGGGAATTATTCAGCATTTTTTTGGGGGCTGGGGAACTTTATAACCAGATAAAAGATACGGGGGAGGGCAGAGCTATAAAAAGTGTTATTGTGTGATTATGAAGAGGCCTTTTAATGCAGTTATTATGTGATGCTAAAAAGGCCTTTATTGCTTGAAGTTGGAAGCAGAATACAAATGGGCTCGCAGTGTCTATTAAACGAAGAGTGGAAAAAATAGTCCCCATTTCCCTGGGCTGCAAAGCAAAACTGACGATTAAACAGCGATTAAAATCAGCAGAGCTGGCTTTGTGTGTGAGCTCCCAGCCCGAGCTGAGCGTGGGGATGGTGGTGAGATTGCAGGTGTGAGAAACGCCAATCACTTGGTTTTTAAAATTCCAAAAGTGTGATAGTAATAAAATGGTTATAAAAATAGCAATAGAATTAGAGTCATAAAAATTTGGACAATCCGAATTAGGACAATACAAGACAATAGAAACAAAGAGTTTGGGACAGTCCAGGTACCTTTTCTGGGCAAAATAAGCCCAAAAAAGGCCCCACATGAACAGAGGATTAACCTTTAAAAGCAGCAGCCTGTTGCATATTCATCCAGCCCATCCATGCTGCATAAATTCCATTCAAACACAGGATTCTGTCTGGGCAGGGTCAGCTCCTTCCTCTGAATCCTGACGGTGTCATTAAGCCTGAGCAAGGCAGGAAGAAATTCATTTCTTCTGATAAGGGAGCAATAAATTCTCTTTCTCTGAAAGATTCAGGTGTCCTGTGGCTGCTATCTCAGTGAGAGTGCCTCATTCCTCTCTTTAAAAAAAGTATCTGACATAGCATCGTTTCTATTGTAACATTATGTTATAACCTAAAACTATATTTAACACACCACTTAAGAAAATTAACACAGCATAACTTTAACATAACACATATAATATTCACCTGAATATTTGCCAAAAGCCAATCATAAAGTATGAATTTTTCACAGCAGGCACAGCCCCTTGTTGTGGGGACCTGTTGGTGCAGATGGCAGTGGCTGGGGCTATCCCAGCTCCCGTTGTGTTTCTCCTGGAGAGAGAGAACAGCCTCCCCCTGTGCCAGAGGGGTTGTTGGCTGGAAGAACGTGCTCAGAAAATGCTGATATTGCTGTGCTTTCCCCCCGAGGGCAGGCAGAGCTCCCCCAGCTCCAGGCTCAGTGCCTGACCCCAAGTGTTTCCCCAGCACTTGAAGCAGTGTTGCCATTGGCACGCACTGCCAGGTTTTAATTTCTGAACCAGTGCTTGTTTCTCACAACCCCAGGTGTGCTTGGCAGCTGGAATAATGCCTCTGTGGTCTGGAGGTAAAATTAGCTGCTCTGGGAGAGAGATTTTCAGCTTTTCGTGCACGACATGAAAGCACAGAGGGTGTTTTCCAAAGAAAACCGATTTTGGCGTCCTCAAATTCAACTTGACCCGGGCTTGTTAGGCCACAGATCTGCTGTGGAATTAAGCTATAGCTGGAGGAGAGCCAGAATCCAATTACATTTTCTGCCTAATGGGTCATAATTTATGCAATGAGGAAGGAGGCAGGGATGGTGCTGGGGGAAAAGGGCACTGGGCCTGCGTGGGTGTGCGCTGGGAGGGGCTGGTAGATGGGAATGGGCAGAGGTGCTGTCCTTTGGTGTTTCAGACCTTTCTGTGGTGTTTCAAATATTCTTCTGGTTTTAAAAAAATGTTCTGGTGTTTAAAACCTTGTTATGGTGTTTAAAACCTTGTTGTCGTGTTTAAAACCTTGTTCTGGTGTTTAAAACCCTTCTCTCTTGTTTAAAACCTTCTTCTGGTGTTTCAAACCTCGTTGTGGTGTTGAAAACCTTGTTATGGTGTTTAAAACCTTGCTGTCATGTTTAAAACACCTCTCTCTTGTTTAAAACCTTCTTCTCATGTTTAAAACCTTTCTCTGGTGTTTAAAACCTCGTTCTCCTGTTGAAAACCTTGTTCTGGTGTTTAAAACCCCTCTCTCTTGTTTAAAACCTTCCCCTGGTGTTTAAAACCAGCAGTTCAGATCAGAATACAGATGTCATCCAGGACTGTAAATGGAATGAGGGATCCCTGGGGACTGTAAGGCTGGCAAAGGTGTTTTGCTGGAGCCCACAGCCCGTGTCTGACCGTGCTCATTCCCTTCCCAGCCTCTCTCCAAGTGGACATTGTTCCAAGCCAGGGGGAGATCAGCGTTGGAGAGTCCAAGTTCTTCTTATGTCAAGGTGGGTGCTGGCCAAAGGCCCCTGGGTTCATTAATTCAGTTAAAAGTGAGACAGACCCTGCTGGGATGGTCCTGCTGCTGTGGGGTCACTCAGAGCCTCAGCACTGGGGTTTGGGGCAAACCCTGGGGCTTGGGGCTGTGCAGTCCTGGGCTGTCTCACTGAACTGTGGGGTCAGTCAGCCCCTCAGCACTGGGGTTTGGGGGTGATGCAGTCCTGGCCTGTCTCACCCTGCTGTTTGCTGCTGTGGGGTTTGGGGCTGTGCAGGGCTGGCTGTCTCACCCTGCTCTCTCCCTGCAGTGGCCGGGGAGGCCAGGTCCAAGGACATCTCGTGGTTCTCCCCGAACGGGGAGCGGCTGAGCCCGGGCCAGCAGCGCATCTCGGTGGTGCGCAACGATGACTCCTCGTCCACGCTCACCATCTACAACGCCAACATCGACGACGCCGGCATCTACAAGTGTGTGGTCAGCAGCCCCGAGGAGGGCGACTCCGAGGCCACCGTCAACGTCAAGATTTTCCGTAAGGATTCCCCGCCTGGCCCTTGTCTTGGCCCCTTGGATCTTTTCTTTCCCCCCTGGCTCTCTCATTGCCCCCCTGGATCTTTCCGTGCCTTCCAGCTCCTTCCTTACCCCCCTGGCTCTTTTCTTTTCCCCTCTGGGTCTTTTCTTATCCCCCTGGATCTTTTCTTGCCCTCCTGGTTCCTTCCTTGCCTCTCTCGCTCTTGTCTTGCCCCCCTTCCTCTTTCCTTGCCCCTTTGCTCTCTCCTTTCCCCACTGGCTCTTTTCTTGCCCCCCCGGCTCTTTCCTTGTCCCCTGTGTTGAATTTGCAGCAACCCCAACGAGGGGAGAGATGAGTGAATCTGACTCCATGTTCTTAGAAGGCTGATTTATTATTTTATGATGTTCTATTAAATTAAAAGAAATTGTATACTAAAACTTTACTAAACTGTAGAGAAAGAATATATCAGGAGGTTAAAAAAGAATGATAGTAAAAACTCGTGACAGACTCAGAGAGTCTGACACAGCTGGCTGTGATTGGTCATTAAATTAAAACAGTTCACATGCTGGGTAAACAATTCTCCACATCACATCCCAAAGTAGCAAAACAGGGAGAAGCTGAAGCTTCCCAGGAGAAGAAGTCCTGGCGAAGGGATTTCTATAAAATATCAGGGTGACAGGCGTGCTGTGGGCAGTGATTCACTCAAACCATGATCCTCCCCAGGAACAAGGAGATCTCTGGGGTTTGGGGGTTTCTCTGCTCCAGCTGTGCTGAGGAAGCTGCAGCGACCTCTCCTTTCCCATTTTGCAGAAAAGCTGATGTTCAAGAACGCTCCCACCCCCCAGGAGTTCAAGGAAGGGGACGACGCTGTGATCGTGTGCGACGTGGTCAGCTCGCTGCCCCCCACCATCATCTGGAAGCACAAAGGCAGGGATGTCATCCTGAAAAAGGATGGTGAGGCCTCGTTCCTGTCCATCTCCCTCCCACACACAGTGCTGGTGCTCACAGGGGACAGGAGGAGCAGCTGTGCCTGGCCCAAGGCCTTGGATGTGCATTTAGTCACCCCAGGTGCTGTGGTTTGCTGTGGTTTGCCTGTGGCAGGACAATCACATTCCCACCGAAGTGGCCACCAGGCTTTGGCACCAAAATCAGCCTAGGAATGCTGGATAAAAAATACAGATCAAAGAAATGCTGTCAGACAGAAGAGCTGGGTGTTGTGACACCCTCCACCTTCCTGAGGAACGGGGCTGGAAGCTCCTTGCAGGAACATTTCCCTTTTTTCCCAACTGCTCCAGAGACCCTGAGCCCAGCTGAGCAGGTGTCCCACACCTGGCACACAGGTGGCGAGGCTGGAGCCCCTGGGCAGGGGGATGAGGCCCAAACTGCTCCCTGGATGGTGTGAGGCAGTGCAAACGTGTCTGTGGGACCTCATGGTGGGGCTGAGGTCACCTTGTGCTGTGCTGGGAGCACAGAGCCCACCCAGGGAGAGAATCTGGGGCTGAAAATCCTCTTGGATAAAAGCAGTTTAATAAAGCAAAGCAAACCAAGGAGTTCCTTCAGTGCTCCCCATCATTCAGCCCGGTCTGCTGTGTCCCCCTGGATCTGCTCACCTCCCTGAGCACTGACCCGGGGCAGGGGCAGGGACAGATCCAGCTCCAGCAGCATCTCCATTTTGTGGTGGGGAGAGATATTTTAGGGGAAGGGAAGGGAAAGGAAAGGAAAAAGGAAAAAGGATAGGAAAGAGAGGCTGAGTGATCTTCCCTTGCCTTTCCTTGTGCTTTGCAGTGCGCTTCATCGTCCTGTCCAACAACTACCTGCAGATCCGGGGCATCAAGAAGACAGATGAGGGCACCTACAGGTGTGAGGGGAGGATCCTGGCCCGGGGGGAGATCAACTTCAAGGACATCCAGGTCATCGTCAATGGTGAGGGGCTGGGAGCAGCACCTCAGCCCAGGCTGCTGCAGGAGCTGCTGCCTCACACTCACACCCTCCTCTTCCTCTGCTGTGTCCAGTGAAATGGCCATGGGACACAGGGAGTGTTTGCCAGGTGTTCACAGGAGAATAACACCTCAAGGAACCTGAGGGTCAGAGTGAGGAGCTGAGCTTGGTGGCACTCACGGGTGGTTCTGGCCACCACACTGATTCCTTTCGTGTCTCCCACCCATTGCCCTTTCTACCCTGTGCTGATGACTTTGGCTGTGCCTCAGTCTCACTGGTCAAACCCTGCAGGTGATGGTGCTGACAGGGTTCTGGGTGCCCCCAGAGGTGCCCAGGGGCTCCCTGTGGCTCACACCTTTGGCCATGCCTCAGCTCTGATCAAACCCTGCAGGTGATGGTGCTGACAGGGTTCTGGGTGCCCCCAGAGGTGCCCAGGGGCTCCCCGTGGCTCACACCTTTGTGCTCCCCAGCTCACCCTGGCTCTGCTCTCTTGCAGTGCCGCCCTCTGTGCGTGCCAGGCAGAGCACCATGAACGCCACTGCCAACCTGAGCCAGTCTGTCACCCTGGCCTGTGATGCTGATGGCTTCCCCGAGCCCACCGTGTCCTGGACCAAGTAAGGATCAGATCCTGTTGGTTGAGATAAAAACAATTCATTAAAGCAAAGCAAACCAAGGGGTTCCTTCAGTGCTCCTCGTTGCTCAGCCGTGTCCCCTCCCAGCTCCCTGCACTGCCCTGCCAGGTGTGGTCCCCACTCCAGGGACTCTGTTCTTGGAGTTCTGCAGCCTTTGGTGAAGGTTAGCAGCACAGATTGACCTGGAAAGGCTGATGGCAGCTTGGAGTGGTGCCTTGGTAGGAAAGGAGCTGCCTTTGGGGGGTTACAGCTCTGTGGTGTGCCAGGAGGTGGGAGCTGGGGCAGGAAGGGGTGGGAATGGGTCTGCACCTGAGCTTTGGAGCCCACAGGGAGAGGAGAAGGGGCGGGAATGGGTACCAAGCTGAACTGTGCAGCCCAGGGCTGGTTATTCTGAGCTGCAGGGCAATCACTGCATGGGCAGGCCTGCAGCAGGCTGGGCTGGCTGCTGCCCCCACAGCCCCGTGTGCTCTGTGCCCCCAGGGATGGAGAGCCCGTGGAGGAGGTGGAGGAGGAGGAGGACAAGTACAGCTTCAACTCAGACGGCTCCGAGCTGGTGATCCACAGGGTGGACAAGAGCGATGAGGCCGAGTACATCTGCATTGCTGAGAACAAGGCTGGGGAGGCTGACGCCACCATCCACCTCAAAGTCTTTGGTAACAGCCCTGGGGGGAGCTGGGGGAGCTCTTTGTCCCAGGTAATTCATGCCAGCTGTGCCCGTGCCCCTCTGCCATCCTGGGGGTGTTGGAGCTCCTGTCTGGAGCCATCCATCCTGTCCAGCCCAGCTCCTGTGTGCTCTGGGTCAGACCCACAGCCTGCTGGAAATGCCCTCCAGGATATTTCCTGGAGTCCTGATCCACCAAAGCTGCTGTTGGAAGGGTTTTAGTGGGGCTTGCTGCAGCCTGGATGGGGAGGTGAGCTCACCCCAGCACTGTGGGAGTGATCTCAGGCTTGCAGGGGTGAATCAGGAGCTTCCCTGCCTCCGAAGGGTCTGGAGGTGTTGGGGAATATGGAATTCTCCCTGCCTCCGAAGGGTCTGGAGGTGTTGGGGAATATGGAATTCTCCCTGCCTCGCAAGGGTCTGGAGGTGTTGGGTAATGTGGAATTCTCCCTGCCTCCCAAGGGTCTGGAAGTGCTGGGGAATGTGGAATTCTCCCTGCCCTGTGTGCAGCCCAAGCCCTTGGCAAAGGGTAATTTGGGCAGGGAGGTGGAAGGGGGAGCTGGCAATCCCAGGGGTGAACATTTGTACCCTCTGAACTGGCTCCTCCTTGGAGCCCCAGCTGTGGAAATGAGCACAAGAGGTTTTCCAGGTCCTTCCCCTCTGCAGGAAGGTGCAAGCCCCCATGCTCCTTCCCCAGCTGGCAGGAGATGGTCCCAGCTCTCCCCACTGAGCCCCCCTGAGCCCTCCCTGAGCCAAGGCTCCTTTTCCCCCTCCCCAGCCAAACCCAAGATCACCTACGTGGAGAACAAGACAGCCATGGAGCTGGAGGATCAGATCACGCTGACCTGCGAGGCCTCGGGGGACCCCATCCCCTCCATCACCTGGAGGAGCTCCAGCAGGAACATCAGCAGCGAGGAGAAGGTAAAGGTGGGAAGGGGCAGCCCTGCCCGGCCTGGGGGGCTCAGCACAGCCCCTGGCACTGCCTGGCACTGCATGGGGGCACGGGGGGCAGTGACACACCTGGGGCAGTGACACACCTGGGGCACTGCCACTCCATGCAGTTATTGCACTGCAGCTCAAAGGGACCAGCCCCTTCTCCTCTCCTCCTTATGGAGGAGTTTTCCATAATTTAACCTGGGGCACTGCACCTGGGGCAGTGCCACACCTGGAGCAGGGACACAGGTGGCACTCCCAGGGCACTGCCACCTGTGCCACTCCTGGGACAGTGACACAGGTGCACACCTGGAGCAGTGCCACACCCTGAGCAGTGCCACAGGTGTCACACCTGGGGCAGTGCCACCTGTGCCCTCCTGTGAGAGCCACCTGGGCTCTGAGCAGCTGGGGAGTCCTCCTGCAATCCCTGCTGTGTTCACCGGGGGGATTCAATTGTGGACACCCCAAAGGCTGTTCAGAGCAGTTCCTCCAGCTGCAGGAACATCTGCACCCCTGACCCAGGCAGGTGCAGGTGAGGGCTGCCCCTCTCCAGGACCACAGTGAGCCTGTCCATCCTTGCTGCCCTGTGACACTGCACATCCCCAGAGCACAAAAGCCTGCCTGCCTTTTGTGCTCACCTGTTCTGTTGATCCCATCAACACCATCTTGTTCTTAAAAGGCAAAAATAATTAGCAGTTTTTTTCCTTCTTGAAAGAGAGTGCTGGTGTTGTTATTGCGGCTTTAATTAGAGCAGGCTGGGTGTGCTGCTGGTGTTGCACTGGAGATGTTTCATGAGCGATCAGGAGGCAGAATTTGGAGCCAGAGCAGGCCTAGACAGAGGCAGGAGTGAGGAGTTGTTGCTAATTAATAATCTCCTATTAACAGGATGATGCTTCAGGGCTCAGCTGCCTTGGCCATGCCAGGGCCTCTGGCTCAGTGTGGCACTGAAAGTCTGGGAGCAACAGAGCTGTCCACTGTCCCTGCTCCCCACAGCTGCCCTGCAGCTCCTAAATGAGCTTTTTTAATTGCCCCCATGACGTCAGCCCCTCCGCTCGTTGTCCATGTGTAAGTTTATTAATCAGGGTGCCAGAGCTGTCCAGCTCAGTTCCTTCCCAGCATCTCTTGGATCCCAGGGCTGCTGTGAATCCCTGCAGTGTGCAGGGAATGGTTCCAGTCCTGCAGGAGCTGCAGCCTGACCAGGGCACCTGTTTGGGCAGGATTTGGGGTTATTTGTTCATGGGTTTGTCTGTTAGCCCTGGGAGGTGCCGAGGGCTGCAGAGCTGCTGGCTGGGAGGTTTGGATCCCAGCCATGGACAGACTGGGGCCATGGACAGATCCCAGCCATGGACAGACTGGGGCAGGGAGGGGATGCAAAAGCTGAATAAGTGGTAGAGGAGCCCCACTCTGAGCCCAGTTAATCATCACAGCCCAGTGCAAAACTGCTAACTCATTTTTGCTGGATTTTGAGACTCTGCTTGCTGCTCTCAGGTGGGTGATCAATAGCAAGGGGAATGTTCATGCTCTGACACCTGGAGATGGGGGAAGAGCCAAGGTTTGAGGTGCTGCCATGTGCTCATGGGCTGGTTCAAACCTTCAGGGCAAACATTATTTTATCATGTCCCTTGCACTTGCTAGGCTGGATTATTGTGTGTGTGTGCATTTTGTTTTGGTTTGTCTTGTACTTTTCTCATTCTCTCTCTTGTGCTCTGAGTTGAGGGAAACCTTTCAGACGTCCAGAAAACCCTGAGGTCAGAACAGCTCTATAAATACTCCACTACAAACTCTATTAGAATATTTAATTCTATTAAATATTCTGTTCCAAATGCATCTATTCAGTTTATTCTCCACTTTCTTTCTCTGGGACAGCACAGGGAAGTGGATGGTCTTTGGTGCAGGACAGACAATGCTATTTTAGGAATTTTCAAGCTTACTTTTGAAGGTTTCTGTTATCCAGAATGCTTCTCTCTTGCTTTGTGTTGTTTGATCTTGTAATCATCCCTCAGTGTAGGTTTCTAGAGGCGTAGAGATGCCTCAACTCCCAAAACATTCTGGAAAACCCACCCAAACCCCCAAAGGAAAAGGAGGATTTAGTTCAGCTGTGTCTCCTGGCAGATTTTGGGCTGTCCCAGCCACCATTCCCTGCAGGGCAGAAAGCAGAGGGAGCATCTTCTCAATAAAGGAGTGAAGAGCAGAGGGATCAGCTCTGAACTCTCCTTCCTGCATCCCAGACACACATCCTTGGTCCAGGGCTGGATCTCCTGGAGCTGCTCTCCCTGCCCACCTTCCCTGCAGGGCAGAAAACAAATGGAGCATCCTCTCACTAAAGGCATCAAAGAGAAGAGGGATCAGCTCTGATTTCTCCCTCCTGCATCCCAGACACACATCCTTGGTCCTTCATCCAGGACTGGATCTCCTGAGAGCTGCTCTCCCTGCTCACCATTCCCTGCAGGGCAGAAAACAAGGGAGCATCCTCTCACCAAAGGAGTGAGGAAGAGAGGGGTCAGCTCTGGTTTCTCCCTCCTGCATCCCAGACACACATCCTTGATCCTTTATCCAGGACTGGATCTCCTGGGAGCTGCTCTACCAGCAATGCCACCATTCCCTGCAGGGCAGAGAGCAAAGGAGCATCCTCTCACCAAAGGAGCGAGGAGCAGAGGAAAGGATGAGCTCTGATTTCTCCCTCCTGCATCCCAAACACACATCCCTGATCCTTCCTCCAGGGCTGGATCTCCTGAGAGCCTCTCTCCCTGCTCACCATTCCCTGCAGGGCAGAAAACAAGGGAGCATCCTCTCACTAAAGGCATCAAAGAGCAGAGGGATCAGCTCTGATTTCTCCCTCCTGCATCCCAAACTGAGTTTAACCCCTGTGCTGCCGCTGGCCCTTCCCCCAGGGCTGCCCCACCAGGCTCCCTGTGCCTCCTGCAGGTTTGGGGGGAGCTCCTGTCCCATCCCCACCCAGCCCGTTGCTGTCCCTGAGCCCTGTCAGAGCTGTGTGTCCCATCTGTGCTGTCTCATGTCCCCTGGCAGCAGGGCTCTGTCGCTGCCCCTCCTTCCCTGAGCCTCCATCTCCATCCCCGTCACCCGTGTGTGCTGTGACACCCCCACAGTGTCACTGTGCCTCTCAGCCAGTGCTGCCACCCTGGTGATTCTTGACTCCTGAACCAGTCACAGAGAGCTGAAATATAAATTATAGAGGGGAATGGAACACAGCAACCTGTGAGCCACAGGGAGCTGGTCCTTGCTGCTGCTGGCTTTCTCTCAGTGGGAAATATTTGCTTTGCAGTGAGCTTTGGGCATGTTTCACTGCTCTGGGGCTGGGTGCTGCCATCCCTGAGCACAGGGAGCTGGGGCTGGGGCTGCTCCTCCTTCCTGCATGGAACCAGGCCTCCAAATGCATGATGAGCACGTTAATCAGCGTTAATTAATCAGTGTGGGGTGGCAGACAGACCAGGGGCACAACACTGGGGCTGCCCAGAGCGACTCAGTGGGCAGAGGTGTGTAGGAAAGGTGAGATGTTCAAAGGAAACAGTCCCTGATGTAATCAGTCAGCCTCGAGGTGCCAGCACCTTTTTTAGCCATTTAAAAACCAAAGCAGAGGCTGTGAAATGGTGAATTCCAGCCTGACACTGATGGGAGAGGGAAGCTGCGATCCCCCACCCCACACGCAGGAGATGCTCAGCTTGGAGCCTGCATGTGCACACAGCTCAATGTGCTGCAGACACTGGTACCGAAAGCAACCTTTGACAAACTTTTATTGCTTTTTTTCTGTCGTTGTCGTTGTGTTCTATATCTGTTCTCTCCAGGCTTCGTGGACCCGGCCCGAGAAACAAGAGGTATCAGATTGTCAGAGCTTTAGCAAAACTTCTTTAGGTTCTTGGTTGTTGGTTTCTCTTCTAAGCATCACAGATTAACAAATCTCTAGTGCAGTAACCAACTAAACAAGCATTAATCTGACCCACTTAAATTACCAGTACATACAAGGAGCAGCTTCTAGAGGTAGAAATTGCTTGGCATGTAGTGATGCAATTTTTGGATGAGCAAAGTGGCTGTGTTGGGAGTGAGGAACTCTGCTCGTCACCTAAAAATGAAAGGAAAGACAATTCAAATGAAAAGCAAATGTAAAAATGCTCTTTTCACCATTTTTTTCTGTGCTGCCAGTGTGAATCATCCTCTCTTTTCAGAGGGGGAAGAATTAGCACCAACCTGTATTTTGGGAAAGTCATTTTTGCCCAGGAAAGCCTCCTCTGCTCCAGCCAACTCACCTATTTGCTCATGGCACTCCTTCAGTTTGATCTTTTGTGTGAAGGAAACTGCATCATGCTCCATTTCCAAAGCAATGCAGAGAAACCTTGCACCAGGGGCATTTCTGCACAAAATGCTCCAAATTGCTCAATTATTTCCATTTGTCTTTGGTTTTTAAGGGTCAGCGAGGGGGAGGTGGGATAATGCAGGGACTGGGGTTGGTGCAAATGGGGTTTGATTTTATTTCACGTTCAGTGCTGTGCTATAATAATAATAATAATAATAATAATAATAATAGAGCTGATTTGTAGCCCTTTTGCTTCAAAATGGACCAGAAGGAAAGTTCCCAAGCAAATAACAGGGGTCAGGTGGAGAACAAAATGAGCTGTCAGAACTGGGTGACTTGGATTTGTATTTTTAGGATCAACTTCGTGGAGGCTCTGATGTTTTAAATCATTCTGAAGCCATCCTAAATCCCAGAGGCTGAGCAAAGGGAAGCTGTAACTTGAGCACCCCCAGCTGTGTTTCATGGGGAGATGCTGCCCGTTCTCCCTTCACAATAATCTCTGGGGCTGTGGCAGGTGGAGGCATTGGAGGCATCAGGTTCTCAGAGCAGTTTGCACTGGAGAATTTGGAATTTGAGTCGCTGCATCTCCCCAGGACGCACAGGAATTCCTGTCCCAGCTGTCCCCTCCCTGCCCCAGTGTTTGCTCTGTGCTCTCTCTCTCCAGCTTTTGATTAATATGAGCACTAATACCATTAAGTTTGCTGTCTCTAAATTTCTTACTGCCTCTGTGTCTTAAAATACCCCAGTGGGGTGCAGGATATCTCTCTAAAATTGCTTTTAAATTGCTTTAAAGTTGCCTGGGGGCTTTCAGCAGTGGATTCCAGCAGCAGGATGGAGGTCAGGGCATGTTTGGCATTAAATATTTCACTTTTTTCTGGAGGAATTTCGGGTGAGGAGGTGAAGTCAGTCCTGGCAGCATTTCTGGGTACACCCAGACTGGTAACTGGGAATGGGTGCAGCATTAGGAGTGTTCAGGGCTGCAGTTAAATACAAATATCAAACACTGCTCTGCAGGCACAGAACAAGGAGAGATCCCTCCTCTTCCTCAGTGCAGTTCCTGCCTGGCTCTGGGTTTTCAGGGGTTTGTGGGGGTTTGTGAAGTGAGGAGCGTACAGGGCTGTGCAGAATTACCCCTGGATGATTTATCCCTTGTTTGGGAAAGCTGAAAGCCCCAGAAGATGAAGGGAAGGAGATAAATGCAGTTTATTTGTCTCTGCTGTCCCCTCTGGCCCTGGGCTGTGCTCACAGTGGCTGTGCCCCAGGGCACGGCCAGAATTGGGGGAAATGCCTGCAATAGGATAAATTGCAATAATTGGCAATAGAGAGAACATCCTGCTCTGTTCTGAGGGGTGATTCACCGAGCTGCTCTCCCCAGCACTAGGAGTTTGTTATTTTGATCCTTGCAATTGGGGGATTTGAGTAAAAGGGTTGCAGATGTCAACATCTGGCTCCCAAATCGCTGCCTGTCCTGTCTCCAGCACCAGAGCCCCCTGTGGGCTGCAGCAGGGACAGAGAAAACCTCAATGAGCTTTCTTGGCTAGGCTTGTTCTCTTCCTCAGAGTGTTCTTCCTGATCTCTCTTTTTCTTCCTTTTGCCTTTTTGCATTACAAACCAGAGCTTTATTTCCAGAATGAGTTGCATTGCTCATGGAGTCCTCCCTGAGCATGATTTCCTGGCTCTCCTCTGGGGTGGATCTTGGAGAAAGGCAGGAGGCATTTGGGTGTAAAAACGCCTTTTCTAGAATCACCTCTGGTGATCCCACACTTGTTTTGTCCTTGCCACTCTTCTGGTGAGGTCCCAGGGACAAATACTGGGAATATTCCCAGGTCTGGAGTTGTGGTGCTGCTGGAGTGAGCTGGGGTTGGGAGGGAAATCCAGACTCAGAAGAGAGCAGGGCAATGAGATAAAAGCAGATTTTGGTGGTGTGGCACCACTGTGGTTTCATGTCAGGCTCTGAAAGGATGCCCACAGCCCCACATGTCCGTGGATAACTGCTCCAGGGCAGGGCTGGAGTCTGTGGCTCGTGGCACTGGGCAGGGATTGCAGCAGGGAATTGCAGGAGAGAGGAGAGAAATACACCCAGTTGTTGTTTATGTGCCCTCACAAGATGCGATTTTTGTGCATTTGAGCTTGGCCTGGTGCCCATGAGCTGGTGCTGGAGCTAACTGAGGTGACAAAAGAGATTTATTGTAGAGACTTTGTCAGTCTCAGCACAGAGAGAGGCTCAGGCCCAGAGGTCTGAAACACCAGAGATGCTTTTTGTGCACTTGGCTGTTGGAAATGCTCAGGTTTTTCCTCATTTCTCAGCACTGGTCCTGCACCTTCCAAGGAAACAGATGCTGCTGGAGGGTGGCAGGATGCAGCAGCAGGCACAGCCCTGAGCGTGCCAGATTTACTCCCTGGTGTAAAATCAGAAATTACAGGAGGGCGTTGGAGCTTCCAGGCTGAGGCAGGAGCAGCAGGAGGGAGAGAGGAGTCCGTGCTTTGTGTTTTCATGGATTTGGTGACAAACTGGAGAGGGAAACCGGGCTGGTGGGTGGGTGCAGTCCCTTGGAGTCCCCTGGGATTTTGCACTCCTTGTTCCTCTCTGTCAGTGGCATCCCCACACTGTCTTGGTGTGGGAAATGGTTCTGGAATTTTCTCGGGGCAGGGCTGTCTCTGGAGGCTTTCTTGCCTTTTTCACTGCCCTTTCCTCTCTTGCTGTGCCACGTTCAGGTGAAAGTTCTGAGCTTCCTTTTGCCTGATTCAGCTCTGGGCTCTGCATCTGTTCTTCCTTCCCCATTCCAGGGGCACTGAGATAAAACCATTATTGCTGAGGGGACAGGAAGGGCTGGAAGCTTTTGGGGAGGTTTCCTTTTTTTTTTTCCCCTCTTTGCATGCGGGCAAAACTTTTTAACCAGAGCTGGATCCCTGCAGTTCCCACCGTGGGGAGAAGCTTTGTGCTCAGTTTGTGTGGTGTTCTCAGCCATGTGGGAGCTGAGGCTTTGCTCCTTGTGATGTTCCCCCTTGCCCTGGGTGCTCTGAGCCCCTGCACACACAGCGACAGAGCTGCCCCTGCTGCTCTCACCTGGCCTCAGGTGGGGAATCTGCAGTGCTGGGGGCTGGCTCAGCCAGGGGCTGTGCCATCCTGGGGCAGTGTTTGTGCCATCCTGGGGCTGCT